AAAAGCACGGCTGGCCTGGTTTAATTCTAGCACAGGCTTCTCTTCTGTTCACACTAACCATGCTTTTCTCACTCTGCTTTCGTAGGCCTCTAACACCAGTCAGATAGTAACAGGTCACGTTGTCTTTGCCTTGTAAAATAACCATCCTGGCATTTTGGAGTTGATGGCATATTGCGTTTAATTTGCAGTCACTTCTCTGTGCAGTCAGCAAATAACCTGACAGCCCGGGCTGCTCTGTGTCTGAACACAGAAGAAAAGTCTCAGTTAGGTAACTTGATCTTGTCCATTTTCTGATTCCAAACTGTATAGGGAGATCTAAACTGTGTCTGATTTTTAGAGACCATAAGGACTCAACTGTGTCTCAAATGACTGGAATGATTGATGTTGGCTCTGTGCTTTATTAATGTTGGGCTCCAAGTTGGTATTGTTAAGGCTAAACTTCACCCTCGTGTTTGTATTTCCAAGGACTGCGGTGTTGAATTGGACTTCAGCAAGGTGGGAACAAAATAAGCCCCTCTTACTGCTTGCTTTGTGCTGTGCCCTGTGCGCTGGGGAGGTGTTGCAGTTTGGGAAGTAACTTGTAAGAACCAGACCTGTAAGCCTGCTTCCCGGGAGCCGGGGCTGGCTCTTTCCGTGGCACGCCGCTCAGTAAAGCTATCGCCAAGTTACCAGTGTTAGATGGTAAACTGCCCAGCTCTGCGTCAAGCCTCTTGGCCTTGGGCATCTTGAGCAGTTTAAATTGTGCTTTCCATTCTCTTCTAGCTTGTTTGTGAGGTGTCCACTCAAACCGGCTCTCACCTCATGATTCAGTGCTGCAGTAGGGCTTGACTCTTCTTCCCCCGAAATGGCAAGTCTTGGGACCCTTGGGCTCTCTTCCAGCACTGAGGGTTTAGGAACTGCCTGGGGTGCTCCTCCCAGACCAGAACTCAGTTTCTCTTCCTCTTTTCTTCCATGCATTTGGAAACATAGCTGTGTAGAGACCAAGGCCTACTTCTGTGAGCACTTAATGCCCTGGGTGGTGCCCCCCCCCTTCCTGCTGGACCCTGTCTTCAGCCCTGGGTGACTGTGGTGCTGTTTGCGCTTGCTTTGAGGCTTTGTCGTGGATGGTAGGCACTGCAGGCTTTTTAGGCTTCATTTTGGATTTGAAAAGGTAAACCTGAGGGCACCAAGAAGAGCTGCCCATCATGGAGGAGCTCTGGCTCCAGGAGCAAAATCTAGGAATCGTGCTTAACCAAACCCCAAGGAGGGAGGGTGCCTGCTGGGCAAAGCCCCTCTGCCGCTCAAGAGCAGCCAAGCTCTGCACAGGGCTGGGGGTTCCTGTGCCGGTGAGGAGTGTGGCTCCTTCCTTGGCCAGCTCTATCCTCCAGCGGGGCTCCTATCTATCAGTGCAGCTTGTATTTCAGGTGCTTGGGCTCAGTCCCTAGTTCTGCTGCCTTTTAGAAATGCATAGGCACTAGGGGACTTGCCCTGGCTAATTTTAAGTACTAAGCCAACCCCCTTCCTGACGACCTCAGAGAAGGGCTGGAGCCCTGTCGCAGATCCTTGTCGGTCCATTTTTTCACACTTGCCACGTGAACTTCCTAAACATGGTCTGACAAAACTCACAAGCACAACTTTTAACCTTTCTGAATCCAAAATCTTGCTGCTTCTCCTTTCAACCTGCCCTGTCATGCTAATTTAGATTAAATCCAACAGTGTCTAATGCTGCTTTACCAGGTCTGACAACAGAAGGACTGTCTAAATTGCTGAAATGGGAAGTCTGGACCCGTTCCTCTGCGAAACTGGACTTCACCTTGATGAAAGAGCAGCGTGCTCAAACGGCACACAACCCTGCACATCTTCAGGCTCTGCACGCTTGTAAAGGGGGAAAACTATCAAATTGTGTTTCACAGGAACATCCTCTCCTTGCTTTACTCTGGGCTAAGCGCATGCTCAGTGCCTTACTTGGATGGCCTTGGATGAGGCAGCGTAGCAAGGCTCTCGCAGTCTGTCCCTCCTGATGCAGCGTGAAGGAGGAAAGCGGGAGTCTTGCAGCTTCCCGTAGGACACCTGACATGCTGCCTTGCGGTACGCCACAGAAAACACTATCTCAGTGCCTTCTTCGACATGCCTGTAAGGACTAGGAAGTCACTGGAGCCTTTTCCATTCTGGCCTTTCAAAGTATTGCCAAAAACCTGTTACGACTCTTGCTAGCTCTGTTTTGTGAACACTGGTGATGTAGTCTGACTTACCGCGAATAAAAAGCTCCCTTTCCATGTATTAGAGCCTTCCCAGGGCCGTGCTGGTGGTTCTGTGCTCCCCCGTCCAGCAGAGCTATTGTAGAGCCCTTGTTTCCCCCTGATGTTTGGCTCCGGCCGGTCCTCGAGGGAGGCTTTATCAGCTGCCCCAGCCTTGGCTCTCCGGAAACAATCCTGGCTCCCCACTCTCTTTGGGTTAGCTCCTCATGTATCTTCTACCTACAAATTCCCCAAGCCCTTATCAGGGTGAGAGTGCAAAGCTGTTACTATCTGTTAGAATTTAGCACTGACTGTTTTATGTCCCTGGGTAGCAACTATGTTTTCTACAGCAAGACCAAGATTAAATGTAACCTTGCTCTTCACTGCCTCGCTGATCAATGCTTTGCTCTAGGTGATTGCAGTTGGTTGTTTTTTGGGTTTGTTGCCTTCTTTTTTTTTTTTTTTTTTTTTTTTTTTTTCTTCCCTGGGCAAACATTTTATGGGCCGGTAAGTATAGAACCTATGTCAAACAACTTCAAGTGTCTTAACTCAAAGTTTAACCAGCAGGTTTGTATACTAAGGACCAAAGCAAAAAAAAAACAAAAAAACAAAAAAACCTAGGATAAAAATCATTCCACTCAATGTTGCTTAACTGTTTAGGGAAAAGTCATTCTGTTGAGGAAATGGGAGATTCCTGTGCTTAAATTGCGTGTGCCATTCTAGCTATCAGAAGTGCAATTTAATGTTTATTTTACTGATTGTCTGACCCAAAGGTTGTGCCGTGAGGAGGCCAAGGGGAAAGCGTGAGTAAGGAGTTCAGGAGCAGAGGGGAGGCATCCCCAGCCCTGCCCGCTGCTGGGGTGGGGGCTGCTCAGCACAGGGGTGCCTGCGCGAGCGTCACTCCTGTGTCACCACAGCAGTCGCCTTCCCAGGCTGGTGCTGCTGGTCTTGGACAAAACACAACTCCTTTGCTATCACCAGGCAGCTTTTGTCACGTTTTTGGCTCTGGTTTCTGTCGAGCTCACTTGTGTCGCACGCTAACTGCAGAAGGGGAAGGGGGCAGAAGCAGCCTCGGCTTGTGCAGAGGAGCATGACCCCTGCCGAGCACTTTGAGATGGGGGAAGGAGTTTAGCTGTACATTTCATTTTGGACACCTGTATTAAACTAGAATCGATCGACCAGGGAGGAGTAAGAAGCATTGTGGGCCTCAGGCTTTAACTGGTGCAGGATCCCTGCCCACTTACAGCTGCTATCATAGGTGTAAAACCACTCTTGTTGCCTAATGAAGTCTCTAGTGTGCTAAGCCCTGGTGATGGCAAAGCGTGACTGGCAAGTAGAACATGAGCGTGATGTGAAACGCGTTAGACTCTGAGCCTCTTACAACATATGGTCTGGTCTGTACTGTCTGTCTCGTGTTGATTTGCAGATATGTGATATGAGTGATCCTCATCCTACAGACACATGGAAAAATCTTTGTTTAAAAAATATATTCCGCTTTGTGCGTGTAACCAAGTTGGACAGAAAGCAAGTGTGCCAATGCTGTTTACATGACTATAAAGTGTAATGCTCCTCTGTCTAATGTTACCATATGCCTTATGTGTTTCAAATGTTAATTAAAAGCATAACAAAACCGTCAGTGGTCTGCTGCGCAGTCTTCTGTTGGAATGAACCCTCTGCCCCCAGCTCAGCCTCTGGGGCGCTTTTATTGCTTCTCTAGTGGGTAGATGCATACAGTTTATAAATTCTCACTCTCCCAGGGTGAGAAGATGCCTCTGCTCTCAAGGACAACTGTTAATTGTTGCCTCGAGGGTTGCACTGATCGTCTAACACCCTGTTCTGGAGGGCAGCTATGGTGCTTTTGTTTGTAAAGCCCTTAGCTGGCCTCTGCACTTTACTCTGCGTCTGGGTGTCTGTAGCCAGCTGAGACTGAAATAGGTGCCTGGGGTGAGGGCAAGACAAGGCGTGAAGAACCACTACTGAAAATGCAGGAGTAAATCTTGTTTATTTGTGTTTCTCCACTGAGAGACTGTCCATGCCTGTATATTCTCAGCTGTCCTGGGCGCTGAAAGCTGTTAATGCTCTCCCTGAGAGAGCATCAGGTTGCCTGCTGGCCCTGAGCAGGTGCTGGGGAGGGGCTGTAGCTTGGGGCTGTCTGTTGGAGGACTGAAATGTCTGAGTGAACAGCTGAGATTAATGACAGCTCAGCTCTGGCAAGGGCTCTGGTGGTGGCTGAGCTGGAACCTGCCTGTAGTGGCTGGAGATGTAAGAGACTTCCAGAAGATGGGGCTGGACTACACGCAGGCTCCCGCCCAGGTTTGGGGTATGCTGCTGAAAGCCAAGCCAGGGCTCAGCCTGGAGCTGGTATTAAAACAAGCTATGTGTAACTGGCTGGTGAGGACATGAGGCCAGGAGGAGCTGGAGTCTCAGACAAGCTCCGATTTGTGCTGAGGCTTGCAGGGGCAGTTGGGGATGGAGGTGCTGCTGTCAGTAAGGTGCAGAATTTTTGGCTACCTCTGGGGATGCAGGAGCTCCTTGGACAAACACTTGCTTTTTCCTGAGCTGACTGTGTTAAGCTGCAGTTTTGTCAGCTGGGAAGGAAGGTGAAGCGAAGGCGTGGGCTGCAGCTGCTCAGGCAGGGGGGTCTCACACGATGCCCAGTTTCTTCAGTACTGTGCAAACCTCCCGGAGATACTGGGAATCTGGATAACCGTTCCTGTGGGGCAAAGAGGGAAGTGGTATAAATCCTGCTGATGGTGCTAAAACCACTGAGGGGGAGCAGCAGTTTATTTTTGCCCCAGCCACTCAAGAGGG